ACACAATCTCAATCACAACCTAAATTAAAATTAACCCAAACTACAAGGACTAAAAATTAAATTATAAATAGAAACAACAATTAGCACTGAAGCCCTGAGCTACTTGTTTTGTTGCAATCAAGCCCCTACGGGAGCAGCCACGACTTGCTTCACTTTCAGTGGTTTTCCCTGACCTCTTGGCACCCCACTTGTTGCTCCAATGGAGGTAGAAGAAGACAAAAAGGAGCTGTCAAGTGGAGCATCTGAACATGATTTTGGAGGGAGTGGATCATTAGTCTGGCGTTCTTCAGTCCCATATCTACAAAACTAAAAACCTCAAAACTAAAAATTTCGAATTGCATGGAGAAATAAAGAATTTTGAGATGGAAAATATTTTTAGAGGAGGGAACCATGGAGCTGGTGAAAATTTGTTGGGCAGTGGAGTGAGTTTAGGGTTTTAAGTTTCTTGTTTTTGTTTTTTTAAATCTTCAAAAAATTATGATAACTTACACATTTTTTGTACAAATGTCTAGTCTAGTCAAATCTCATTTATTGAAGGCATGTTAGGTATTTAATGTATCTACAAGGGTAAAAATGTTCAAAATTGACAATCTTGCAACTACTTTAAAAATGGACATTTTGATAATTACATGGTAGCAAAATAACATCCAGTGTAATTTCCTATTTTAAAAAGTAGTAACGAAATTCAGTAATTTTGCATCCAATTCTCATTTTGCATTCTTCTCTCTGGCTGATAGAGGTCCGTGTTTAGTACACGATGTCTTTTGTATACTAAAATGATTGTAGTATCTTATCTACCTTCAATATAAAGTTTGTGTGTGTCCCCTTCCAATAGGCTGCATTCTGTCTGCATTCTGTCATGGATTCTTGGTTGGCTAGTCCTATTTTGATCTCTATCTGAACTTTAGTTTATTTGAGTAATAATTTCTTTTTCCATTTTTACCAAGATAAATACGCTGAAAATTGTTGTCATGAAGATTCGTTACCTTCATCTAGTACCCTCTAAACTAGGGCTGTCCGTGAGTCGGTTCGGTTCGATTCTGAAGATACCCGAACCGATCCAAAACTTTCGGGTATTTAATAAATGGAACCGTCGGGTCCAAATTTAATTATGGAACCGTTCGGGTTCGGTTCGGTTCGGTTCGGTTCAAGCCGGTTCGGTTAGAGCCGGTTCGGGTCCGTTCGGTTTCGTACCATAATTTAATTTTTTTNCGAGACCCGACCCAAACCCATCGGGTCTCGATTCGGGTACCCGTTCGGGTATTTAATTTACGAAGAACCGCTCGATTCGGTTCGGTTCGGTTCGGTTCGGGTTCGATTCGATCCGATTCGATTCGGGACTTTTGGACACCCCTACTCTAAACCATTCAAAAAATTGTAAAATAATATTTCTGGGAATTTGAAAAGATAGTGATTCAATAGGCTGAATAGTCTGGATTCCATGTTAAAATAGGAGAATATCTCTTTAGATATTAATCTGTTCGAGCACATGATTCCAGATTTCACTTTCCATGAGATATTTCAAACGATTGCAGTTCAAGACAAGACAAGATAAACTAAACAGCATTTTTCAGTTAACATGGTTTGAAATGATTGTAAAAAATTGATTTTATAGAATTTCTATGTAACAATGAATTGAGTAGGTTGCCTTTGTATTCCAAGTCACATTCAATTCAGATAGAACCATGAAGATTCTCATTCTAACATACATTTCTATGCTATTATCTTTCAGTAGAGCTTGAAATTCAGGCTCTTGGGACTTGCATACTAGCCATTGTGTGGTTCAGGAAATGGTCTGATAAATCACCATCAAACCTGTTAAATCCAAATTATATAATTGGCAATTTAAAAATTTGTAATTGATAATTTTCTTAATCAAAACCATGTCCTGGTTGTGATTGATAGTATAGATCTTAAAGGAGTCCAAGATGTCCAAGAAAATCACATATGATCATTGAAATGTAATTGAAGTCAAAGAAGTGTAAAAGTGCAGCACAAATCATGCTCTAAATTCTCAGCAGCAAATTGAAACGCATTTTTCACATAAAAAAATTCGAATTTAAACAAGGTTATTTAGACGAATTGTAGTCCTTTGAATTAGCTTTCTAACGCACTTTGAATCACTTCAATCAGATATGGGAGAGAAAGTTATGATAAAAATACCGACGATTGTTAAGAATGTGCTCGCTGGCCGCCCACTTGGAAATGTAGCGAACGTTCAACTCCCAATTTGCTTTAAACACGGGTTTTTCACTCATTTTCATCTCAAACACTTTCCCCTATATATATATCCTACTCTATAAACATCCCAAAGTAAGTTGAATCAGATTCATTCCATAGAGATCAATTTTTTGATAATCCAAAACATTAATTGATTACTATATTCAACCACCAAATATTACTTGATCCATAAATTCTTTCAAAATATATTTTATTGATCAAGCCATATTGTTCTACATTAAACCAAGATCAAAACATGTAAGATCGT